TTCCGGCTTGTCGGGGTGCTGCATCACATAAATCCCATTCCTCTGTCTCATTTGTTCGCGTATTGGTGTCAGAGCCTTTCATAGGGCGCAATGGAGGGGCAGATGATTTTCCCACAGGACGAACGGTCCCGAAATCCCAAAGGTCTTCCGTTTCCTGGGTTCTGGCGTTTGCTGTATGATCGGCTTCTCTATCATCATAATCATCATATTCGTCCTCGTCGTCTTGACCCCGATGAGTTATTTGCCAACGTTCTGCGCGCTCAATGAGTTCTGTCAGGTAGGTTGTTCTTTTGGCACGCTTCACAAACGGATGCTCAAGGAGCTCCTTGGCTGATGGCCGCTCCTTAGGGTCTCGGCGCAAGCACAGTTCAACAAACTGCTTGAAAGGCTTACTAAAGTCGCCTACCAATGTGGGGGGCGGGTTCTTGGGAATCAAGAAGAGCACTTTCATTGGGTGAATGTCGGCATACGGAGGATCACCACAGGCCAACTCAATTGCCGTGATACCCAAGGACCAAATATCGGCCTTGTAATCGTATCCAGATTGCTTGATGACTTCGGGGGCCATCCAGAACGGAGTGCCTACGAAGGTATTTTTCTTGGTCATTGTTGCCGACAGTTGTCCCGACACGCCAAAGTCCGCCAATTTAACTTGACCGCTCGCGCTGAGAAGAATGTTGGCAGCTGCAATCAAAGTTGTTAGTCGGTGCGCATCGCAATTCTAACCAATTAGGGTCTTCGTACCTTTAATGTCTCGATGCAGCTTCTGGTCACTGTGGAGATAGTCCAGCCCGCGCAGAAGCTCCCTCAGAATAATGGCAATGTACTCCTCGTGGATCACACCAGGTCGCAAGAGACCGTGGCAACTACCACCAGCGCAGAACTCCATGATGATCCACAGGTTGGACCCCTTCAAGTATGAGCCATGGTACTTGGTAACATAGGGAGACTTCAGCTCGGACAATATCGCAATCTCCTTGATTATATCGTCGACATCATCCTCAGCATTCTCGACGTCAATGATTTTGATAGCCACTGACTCTCCAGTACGTCTATCCAGACTAATTGTCCGAATTGGGTCAGCTGTCTGTTGAACTAAGACGTTGATATGGAAGGTCCTCGGCTTACCCTTTGAACACCTTACCAAAGCTTCCACCGCCTACGAAATCATGAAACAGTCAGCAACCACATGAAGCCCATGACCCCTCAAATCCCAAGTATTGGAAAAACCTACCGATGCAAGTTTGCTTAGTGTAAATAGTTTCCGGATCGATGGGAGGCGGCATTTTGGCGATTTATCCAAGTCAGCAAGGGATGACGATGGACATGAATCGAGCTTGAATTTATCGAGGCTAATGGTGAATTGTCAGATTCACGACTGGCAATCGCTTATCACAAGGATGGAGTGTGGGGTTGGGCCGTACGTGACGGTCCTCAAAAGTGGACTCGGGATGGATTCTGAGATGAAATAACGCTCCTATCCAATCAATCTGATTCGATTAGATAAGATCTGTGGAATGTCTTTCAGGATCGCAAGATTTCAGGACTGCAGGAGGAGAGAAGGAAGAGGAAAGATGGTGTTATTCGTTGGGGTGCTCACAGTTGATAAGAGGTCAACCGGTAAACAAAGACAATTGTTCAATCAGAGCAGGCGCGGCGAGGGTAATCGTGGAATTCCGGATCGTTTGTGGCATACTCTTCACGTAGCGATCAACTCATCTCACTCCCTAGGCTTCTCAGGGATATCTATGTCGTGAGCTGCCCTTGCTTGTTTATCGACGCGGGGGGCTTATTTTGCCGACGCTTATCTGGGGGCGGTGTATCTATGATTCCAATTACAAGATTGTACAATGATCTGGGACTTGGGTTTCAGACTTAGATGTCTTGAATTATCAATTGAACTGGGTATTAAGAGTTTCAATATAAATCCATACATGCTTCTCTAATTTAAAGCAGGATCACCATTATAATTACAAATTTTGCCTTTGTTAGACGGGAATAATACGGATTGGAGGACTTAAAGTTCTAGTATAATTATTAATTAATTAATTACATGGAAGCGAGGTTGTGTGGTGAGAATAAAAGTAATCTTGTAAGTTTGCTACGTTCTGGGGCTACATAGTTCGAAGAGGAGGTCGCTCTATTGGCGAATAGAGTCTACAACATAGAACACTATAATTATACAGTTAGGTAGTTATATCGAAAGACATACCTATTTAGGTAGAAGCATAAGAATGAACACTACACTAGGGCACGAAAAGCACCCGTGACACAATACAAAGAGTTATGTACCTAAACGGTTTCCTTATTGGGAGCATCAAAGCAATTGGCCCTATCCTATATTCTACCATTTCACTCACTCTTGTATGTTATTTAAGCGTCTTTAGATATTTAGGTGTTTCTACTACATTTCTGATTGATCAAGCTCATTCTTTGACTGAATATGTGATTAGCTATGTGGTCACGAAGCATATGCTTTGTCTACTAAGAAATATTCCTTGCCCTTGAGGCAATCTGTACACTCTACGTATGTATATTACTCAATTTTCCTCCATAGTCATGGTTATTTCCTCTGTTTCTCAAGTTGATACTATTTTGATTATCATGATTCATTGCATGCTTTCCAGGCAAGCTTTGGTACTATGTATACTCTCACATCTAGGTTCTCGGGTTGACAATGGCAACTGGAGAGCCTGCTAGATTGAATGATAGCCTCGGGAATGACGAAAACCAGCTTGGGAACAAAGGTGAGATCCCACGGGATCTAATTCATTTCCATCAACGCCTTGCAGAAATTCAGAAAACATTGTAGCGTGATGATAAGACTGAAATATGGAGAAAGTGAAAGGATTACTCTTCCAGATATCCAATCATCACTGTGCCATTCTTCAGTCCTGCATCTTCAATGCTCGTGGTAAGTTGATCAATGAGATTGCGCCCCATGCTATTCAGGTCAAACTCGACCCCAGCCTTGTCTTCCAAGGGAGGATCGGCCTTGAGCCATTCATAGATTCTCTGAACAGGATCCGACAGTGAAAAGCGCCGAATGACCCTGCCAGACGGGTGTCGGAACTGAATGCGAGTAGTTGTGGCCGGGTCCGCAGCAGGTTCAGTGTGTGCTTGGTCGCTGGGAATAGATGCGAAAGGAGAAGCTTCGGCAGCTGGCTCCGATTCATCCATGATGACATCTTCCTCGTCGGTAGCCCGGCCCTTGCCCTTAACATTGTCTGCACTGCGTGTCAACTCATCAGGGTCTTCGACCGTCTGACCAGCTTCCGCTGCGGCCCCAAGACTGTTTCTCATTGCCATCTCCATCATCTCCTCTTCGGTCATGGCATCAATGCTCTTGTCTTTCTTGTCGGATTTGCGCTTAGCGACAGGGTTGCGCACATTGCGGTTCAAGCTGTAGCGATCGAGGAATTCGTGAAGTTGCATGAGAAAGTCGGCGGCCTTGACCAAAGGCGGTCCAGACCAGACCTTCATTTGTTCACCAGTTCGAGGGTCAACAATAGCAATGTGGGGATAATTGTCGGAGACGTCGCTTCCCTGGAAGTAGTATTGGAGGTAGGGAGATGCACGAGGGTCATCTTTCGAGTACTGCAGGAAAATGAAGTGCTCCTTGATTGTATCTTGCACCCCAGGGTCCTTCCACAAATCGCGGTTCAGAACTTGACAGTCAAAGATTGATGCATCCTGGACATTGACAAGCAGCCATTTCTCCGTATCCTTTCCCTCCTCGCGCGCCACATCCCAAGGCAGTCGTGACATGATTTCGAAGGGAGGGCGGTACATTTCGGCGAGCATATTGGATTTGGACGATGCTTCCGATGCGCCCCCAGTAGCGGCAGAGAGTGCTTCGCGACGAGCTTCATTGCCGCCCGTCCATATGGAAGATGACTCTTGCTGGTTGAAGATTCCGGCTCGACCTAGAGTAAATTGTCAGTTCAAGTTATTGAAAATTTTAGAAACACAAATAACACCCACTTGGTCTTCCACGAGCTCGTAGTTGGCTGAGAATATTTGCGTGCATGTCTTCACCACTATCATAGTCCGCCCCGGGCCCCACCAAAGTCTCTGTTGTCCGCGCCATTGGCGCTCTCACTTCTTCTTCGTTATCTGGGCCCCCTGGGCCACCATACATTTGCTCCTGAAGGCGTCGAGCCATAGCCTCGTCGTCATCGAATGTTGGCAGGGCGGAGTGTCGGGGAGTATCGTCATCAGTGTCCGAGTCAATATTCACCACCTCGGAATCATCTGGGATTCCAGCCCGATGAGAAGGCCGAGAAGGTTCACCAGTCAAGGGTGCGCCTCCACTTTCAAAGTAAAGCTGCATGGCCTGCTCGATTTGGAACTCGGTGATCTGCAGGTATTGTATGGCCAGCTCCGGCGTGGAGCCGGTAATTTCAGTGAACTGAGCTACCACATCGTTATCCATGGTGGGCAGTGTACCGAAGGAGGTTCCTTAAGAAAGATCCTAATGTTAGAGAAAAAGGCTGAAAAGGATTGATTTTGGATACCCACTGAAAGCTTAGGCGTAGTATGAAATGGGGTAAAGACTCGGAGGGTGTGCTATGTGGGGAGCTAGATTTGGTGCAAACCACTGCAAACCAGAAGATCAACAGGTCCCACAAAAGAGGTTGACAGGAATTAAGAAAAAAAATAGAGAAAGAAAAAGAACGTCCAGCTTCACGTAGGCTGAAAGAGTTCCGTCATCTCGATTCGAAACTCACATGAGACGATCATCGACACCTGAGGTGGCCACCTTCGCAATGACGCGGCTGACTAAGGGTTGAAACTGTTGCACGTGTGGTTGATATACTCGGCCGTAATTCTACGCGCGACGCGTCCAGCGCGTGGAAAGCCCCCAGTAGTGGAGCTGCCAATTACACTTCCTAACTGGGCTCTCTGCCATCTTTCCTGACATTCCTCGTTTTAACTCCTACGGAAACTGCGTCTGTTGTTCCTACCTTTAATTTTATTTTTTGTGTGTATTCCAAATCATGGCAGGAACAGTCCTAGGAAAGCGCACTCGTGCTGCTGTGGACTCAGGTAAGATCATCCATCCCACCTTCCTCTGCTCCTTATCTTCAAGTTCTCACCTGCCTTCCTAGCATTGCCGGTCCGATCCGCGAGCAAGCGCCGAACCGTTACTCCCCGAGTTCACCAACTAGATGCCGTTCCAACCCCGTTACGACGAACAAGGTCAACTGTAAAGAAGACAGTCGAGCAACCCGACCAAGAAAATGGCGAGAGCAAGACAGTGTCGGAGAATGTTGCTTCTAAACATATTTTGCGTGATGATCAGTTCAAATCTCCGGTCAAGATCAATTCGCATTTCACCGTCTCGAAGCCAGTGGAAGGTAAGTTGCAAAATTTGGGTGTGGCGCCTGAGGCAGCGCTAATCGGATGTGCAGAAGAAATTACGAAACCTATCGAGTTGGAATTTAAGACACCTTCCAAATCGCGATTCCGGGATGATCTACCGCAATCTCCCATCACCCCCAGACATCGAGTGCAGGTCGGCGCAAAGGCTGTAACCCCGCGCACCCCCCGCCATGCCGACCTTCCCCCGACTCCCAGACAGAGTGCCACTCCGAAAATTGCCAACTCGGTGTATTCGCAAGCTAGACAACTGTTCGCACGAGGCTCCAACTCAGGACGCTTAGTGGGACGCGATGCAGAGCGGGAAAAGTTGGTATCTTTTATCACAGAAGGAGTGGAGTCTCGGAAAGGAGGGTGTCTCTATATCAGCGGTCCCCCGGGAACCGGAAAGAGTGCCATGGTCCAGGAAGTGTGTGCAGATCTCGACCTTTCTAAAGTGAAAGTCTCGCATGTGAACTGCGCAAGCATGCGAATCTCTCGCGATGTCTACAGCAGACTCATCCAAGATTTCTGCCAAGACTCGGATATGTTCAAGAAGAGCGAGGGAGAGCGCCTCAAATCTACGTTCATTCCGTCTAAGAAAGGGGAAGATATGTTCCTGGTCACTTTGGACGAAATTGACCATCTCCTCAATGGTGATTCAGGGGTTTTGCAGTCACTTTTCGAGTGGTCATTGCAAAGCAAGTCTAAGCTGATGCTGATTGGCATCGCTAATGCCCTTGATTTGACCGACCGATCTCTCCCACAGTTAAAGGCGAAGAACCTAAAGCCCCGCTTGCTGCCGTTCTTGCCGTACAGTGCTGCATCTATCGCAAATGTTATGACCAATCGTCTTCGCTCATTGCTCCCTGCTGGGACAGAATCTGACCCAAAGCTTGTTCCCTTTGTTCAACCGGCCGCCATCCAACTTTGCTCCAAGAAGGTAGCCTCGCAGACAGGTGATCTCCGCAAGGCCTTTGAATTGATCAAGCGGGCAATCGACGTCATTGAACAGGAAACATTTCAAAAGTTGGATAAGCAAGCTAAGGAGTCTGAGAATATTTCGATATTAGGGGAGAACACTAATTTGTCTTCGCCTGCCAAAGGTGGCAGTGCTCAGAAGCCAGCCTCTATGTCAAGCTACACGGTCATCACGGCACCTAGAGCCAGCATCGCCCACATTGCTCGGATCACATCCGCAGCTTTCGGTCAAGGCACTGTTCAAAGACTTCAAAGTTTGAATCTGCAACAAAAGGCTGCTATCTGCTCTCTGATTGCGCTTGAGCGCAAACGCCGCCAGTTGGAGGTCCCAAGCACGCCCTCCAAATCGCGTACATCGGCACCCACTATCAAGCAAGCATTTGATACATATTGTGCTCTGTGTCGCAATGACAACATTCTGCACCCCTTGACTGCTACTGAGTTCAAAGATGTTCTCAGCAATTTGGAAACCATGGGCTTGGTTGGAGAATATCAGGGTCGCGGCCGAGGCGGAACTGTTGCAGGTGGCACAGATCTGCGCCGCACACCCTCAAAATCGGGCCATGCACCTTCGACTCCTCATAAGGCCCTGGATGAGCAAGGTCTTGTTTGCTTTGTTTCCCAGCAGGAAATTGAGAGTCAGATTGCTGGTCCCGGTGAAGGAATCCTTCGGCGCCTTCTCCGTGGTGATGGACTATGATCCCCTTGCCTGTTTCTTAACTGCATCCACACAGCATGGCAAGCTTTCACTTTTCATTTCCCATTCCCCATTACTGCATCGTCGGAGTCCTATGCTAGAGCATTTTTATCATGTATAACATTCTTGGAGTTTTCATTTTGGAGTTGGAATATCCTTGTCTCATCATCTTTAGCGTCTTTTATCACGGCTTTCCTTGTTGTTAACTTTCCTTTGTCTTTCCGTGCTTGCTCTTCCTTGGTGTGAATTCATGAGATCTCATACACCAAAAACAGATAAAAAAAACACAAATGAATTGATCAGTGGATTTAAAACCAAAAGGATTCTTTTCATAGCCCTAAGACGGTTTTTGTCCTTAGGTATATAAGAATAGTCAGCCGTTTATGCGGCCTTGTCATGTCTTTTTAGGTGTCTTTTTAGGTGTACATGAAGGTAGTAAAAAAGAAACATACTTTATGCAAGAGACTTTTCTATGTATAACCTTTGATAAACTGTTTGAATAGGCTATAGTAGACCTCCACAAAGCCTACAAATGGGCCTGGATCCCGGGCCCAAAGCCCAACCAGCAGTGGGCTATGGACCCAACCTTTAAGGCCCAACCTAACCCAGAGCCCATCAAAGCCCATTATTACACATAACTACGATCTTGGCATAGTTAGTTAACTACAGATAATAGCTGATCAATAACTGTTTTTTTTTACGTACATTCCAGCTTGTAACTATATAGTGTTGGCGATGATGATGACGATGATACTGCTGCTATACCGCAAGTACTAAGTACTAATTCTTAGCAGCGTATATTAGGGAGAAAGAGGAAGTATATTGAGGATGAAATGTATAAGCCTTATTAGTATAACATATTAACTATCACTTGATTATATTCCGTGACCTTGGCGATCTCAGCCACATAAGATCTCTCTATTGCTGCAGTCTCTAGGGATCAACGTCTGTTTCCCTTTCTGGATCATCATATAACCCACAATTTAGGACTTAGGCAGTAATTAGAATACCCAAAAAATTGCTAGGAAAATCTGCATTAGTTATGCAGCTACAATTAATTGGCATGTTTGCATTGTTTGGTGCCTATTGGGCCTCATTGGGCCCTTGTGGGCTTTTGCGGAGGTCTAGGCTATAGTATACATCATGCAATGTAACAGACAAACGAATATAACGGAAGGTACCAGCATCTCACATAAAGACGTTATATATATGAGCCATGTTCAAGCTTAGTTTGTGTTATTTTACTGACATATCCTTCTATCAGATCTGTTATCAAGCCTTTCGGGAATCACATCATGGCGACAGTTAATTCAAGCCAAGCACAGATGGATGTCCCAGCTCCCCTGCCTGGTAGCCAACCCAACAGCCCTCAGCCGACTGAGGACCTTACGGAAGATGTTGCTGAAAAGAGCAGATCTGTTGTACCCTACCTACTAGAAAATAGTCCAGAATTCCGAGAACTCAGTGATGTGAGACAGCAGGTAGACCACGTCGAACCCAGATATCATAGATACATAATTTTTACTATGCTGTGAACAGGGATGGGACGCCCCAGAAGGCGACAAATATTTTGAGAACCTTCGTCAAAATGCGGATAAGTCGGACAAAAAGACGGCGACTTACTTCTATAAGTTTATGAACACAATCGGACACGAACTTGACAAAGCCACCAATGCCTTCAAAATCCAACCAGTTGATTCAACTCCACCTGCGATTCTCGATATCTGCATGGCCCCCGGTGCATTTCTCGAGATAGCATTGAAAAAGAACCCAGGCTCACACGCTCTGGCTTTTAGCTTGCCTGTCTCCTGTGGAGGGTATAGGAGCCGTCTGGCAAGCGGCTTGAATGTCAAGCAAGTATTTCTCGACGTGACTATGCTTGCTGCCGACATGGGTGTAGACCAGATCCCTGGGGGCCATGAAGATTCTGAAAACTTTTTGCCCCGGCAACTTGACGAAGGTCGGCTTTTCGATTTCGCCATATGTGACGGTCAGGTCTTAAGGCAGCATTCACGCGCTCCATATCGAGAGAGCCGGGAAGCGAGAAGACTGGCCGCCACGCAGCTCGCTCTGGGTCTCCAGCACCTTAGACCTGGTGGCACTCTGATCGTTCTTCTTCACAGACTTGAAGCGTGGAACATAGCCAACCTCATTTGGATGTTTCACAAGATCTCCCTGGTTCGGCTTTTTAAGCCAAAGAAAGGTCACGCCAAGCGCTCGTCCTTTTACATGGTTGCTACCAATGTGGAAAGCCAACACCCAGAGGCTGTCGAAGCAGTCAGGCGGTGGAAGGAAATCTGGCGGATTGCTACATTTGGCTCCGATGAAGAGTATGGCGAGATGACCTTGGATAAAGACCAATCTGTAGAAACATTGGTCGAGGCTTTCGGGCCCAAACTCGTGAAATTGGGCAAGCCAATATGGAAGACACAGGCAAATGCCCTGGCTAAGGCTCCATTCATGAAGAAGCCAAAGTGATTAATGGAAAAAGAAGAGGTAGCCAAGATGTAATCAATATCTCTCTGTAGACGAGGCAAAGGGCTTCGAATGGAGAACTCATCACCGAACGATTGATTTGAATTAACTGTTCCTATTATTTCACAGGTTCTCAATGTAAAGACTGTAAGGTCCACAAGGGTAAATATTGGGTGAACTCAAAACCCACCCATCGAGTGAGATATAACACTCAAATACCAAAGCGTCACAAATATCCCACACTCAACGTCTCCAGTTTGGTTTCACCGCGCTGCTGCCCACAGGGTGGCTTTTTTTCATTTATCTGCTTTTGTTTTGCACTCATCAAGCCATCTGCCTATGTAATGATGTCAAGTTGCACTTACTCAGATGAGCCCACTGCCTGATATGGCAGGAACACGTGCCTTACAGACTTTCTCGTGTTTACTGTCGACCACAGCAGCTTCACCTCTTGAATTATTCACCTCTCAACATCCTCACCACTGATACACTATGGAATTCATCCGTTGTCTCTTCCCACTCATCCCATTCTTGATTCTCAGCTTGGTGTTCGTTGCTTCATAGTAAGTCCTTGTTCGCCGTCTTGTGACGCTTGCCTGGAAAACAATGCTGAGAACCCCCATAGCTGGTTTCCTAGCACAACACTTCCAGCAATAAAAGCTGGTCCTAACACGACTCCTCTTGGGTCTTCCGTCGACAAAAACTGCAGAGAGCAATTGCTTCTATACTTCCTTGATCATGCCGTCGAAATAGTCAACATATTTGGGTGGCTATGGATACGGTTCTACATTGCCTCCGGTGTTGTCAGGTTGGTCATGGATGAGATTGTGAAACCACTCGCTATATTCCTTGCCAAAAAAGCCTACAGGTAACGTTATTTGATTGTCTAATTTTGATCTCGAACAGGCAAAGCTAATTGAAGATACAGAGCTTTTCGCGGGTATTGGTTCCCAACTGACCACACCCAATGAGGAGACACCGGTCGTCGAAACCCAACAACCTGCTATCTGAGAATGAGTAAATAAACGATATACAATTTTATGGTTCATGACAAAGCTTGAATCGAGTTATGCCCGTATTCACGCATGGGCAACCGAGCAATTCTTGTGGAGAGAGAGAGAGGGAGAGAGAACTTTTTCTATATTTAGATGAGGAATACACATGCGGATTCATTCTATTTCTGTGATACAATTTCAAGCTATCTATAGAGGGGCCGATTCTACTTACATACTCTGTATCACGCTTCATGATATGAGATCCTAGCTCCCCAATTGTTCATCTAATCACGAACTAAGAATGGCGATAAAACATTTCCCAGTCCCTCAACATACCTCTCCTCTCACAATCCCCCCGTCAATGCCAACCCCCTATATTATCCCCGGAGGGAACCGTCCCAAACCCCTACCTCATATAAACCCGCCGTTGATACTCTTGTTATTTCATCTACACCTATCTAAAATGGATTATCCTCTGCAGAACCACGCTTCCTACATTAACCGTCCGGTCTCTGAGCTTCCAACTCCGGCTCTCGTCCTAAGCTCGTGCTGGAGCGAAATATCCAGATCTTGTTGGAAGATGTCAAACAGTTGGGAATTGAGTTTCGCCCCATGTCAAGACCCTCACGGTATTCTTTCCACGCAGTTTTGAGTTCCAAGCAATGTACCAAATGAATCTTGCAATGTACCGAAGTCACCCGCATAATGCTAGGCGAAGGCGTGCACCGACGAATCCCCGTATCAACCCTATCCGAGATCTAGAGTTCATTGGATCCTGTTAAGGCAAGCTAGACGAGGCGAGTCCCAGTAACGATTTCTAAATAAAAGAGTATCAACTAAAATCGTAACAGTGTCTCTGCGGCCTACCCATCTCAGTCAGCGCTCCACCCTTCCTCGAAACTCAAACCAAATCCCTAAAGATCAGATCTCCTCGAATCCTACGCCTCGAAATCATCTTCTCTCATAGCACCATGGTCCGTCTTTATCAAGATCGACGTCCGCTCCCAGTGCGCGGGAATGACAACAGACTCACCATCCCCCCCTCCCCCGGGATCAATCCAACGTATTGAGTTATCATCTGCGGCCACCGTATACGGCTTCTATTGCCATGTCGGGCACTCATATGCATGCCGCACAGAAGATGCCGCAGTTACAGTGCTTCAGGCCGAAGTCAAGGGTTTAGCGGAAGCATATGGGGTCTAAGTCTGGGAATGGGGAGAAGACGGAGGATGCGGTTGCTGTTGGGAATAAGGTTTTGTTGTATATCTAGCATGTTTGCATTACGGCTGCTCTGAATTTTTGCTTATTATGTTATCGATGAGCAGGATACTGTTAGGGAGACGTGGGTTCCGTGGAAGGGGTGGTTATTGTAAGGAATTTTGATGTGGTTTTTCTAGAGACCCTGCTGGTGTTTCTCTCATTTGTGTATATTGGATTTAATATAGTCTTGAATAATGGATTATTAGAGAAATTGGGCAGCAGATGAGACAATTGTACTCGTACTTTAGTATCTAAAATATAAATAGTCCATATCCCCCAGTCCTGACATATTTGATAGAGCAGAGTTGGTGAATAGCATTTACATTGAGTACAATTACTGGGATCGAATTAAACCTGTCATAGATCGTGATCATGAATTGATTAAGTATCAGGGAGTAGAGAAATTTTGAATAAAGCAAGATACTCAAAACGGGAGAAGAATCGCAACCTTGGAAAACCGAATGGAAGAGTAAGACGTGGATATGATGCAAGTAAGCTCATAACCAAATCAATCCAGAGGTGGAACTAAGGTGGAAAATAAGGTGAAGAAAAAAAAAAGGCATTATGCACAGGTGAAGAAAATTGAATATGGGTATCATGTAAACTTGGCTAGAACAAGACCCGTCCGGAAAAGGCGTTGCAGCCTGAATATTCTGCGGGGCTGATTTCCTTTTCCGTCGCTGGTATCATGAGGCCCTTCGTTGAGATGGGACCGTGATAAGTAAACCGGATCAAATCCACGGAGAACGAAAAGGTAATAAGAAATTATGGTAGACCGTGAAAAGGCGTTGTGTGGTGACTGGGTAATTTTTTGTTTGATCGTGGGAATCGTCAAGTCGTAATGGAGAACGATAATCAAGATTACTGATTAAACATGTTGAAGTTTTTGATATTTTATTCGCGGGTTGAGTCGATTGAAGGGGCGCGAGAAGGGGCGCGCGAGGGAATAGGCGAGGCAGCAGGCGACTCCCCAGTGACGAGATCGTCAGTGGTAAAGCGCGGCAACCGGCCATGCGTAGAGCCGTGAGTAGACCGATTGGAAGAGAGAGTGGACGAGCGAGTAGAACTGCTATCCAATCGCAAGGAGTCTATGCGCTCCAGGTCTGTGTAGTCAGGGAGGGGAGAACCGTTGTAGTCCTCAATGAAGCTGTGGGCGCCATCGGGCTTGGTGTAACAGGGAGGGCTAGCGGGAACGTCCTCATAAATTGGAGGCATCTCCTCGTCCCAGCTAATGCCAAGACCACCACGCTGGGTGACATGGAGGTGGAACTGCATGCGAAGCACGCGCGCGGCACCAGTTGGAGTAATTAGGCGGGTGTTGCCATTGGGGCAGAATTCCTCGGCCACGATAAGCTCGATGACGAGGTTGTGCTTGACTTCCAGACCACCAGGAGCCTCCATGTCACAGACGGCATTGGCAGCCGGGTTGATGTTCGCATCGAACTGCATGGTGATCTCGCCACCAGCGGTGTCAAAGTCGGTCTTCCAGCCGCTCTTCTCCTCGTTGTGTCCGATGACGCGAGTCTCCTGGTGCAAAACACCTTTGCCCTCGCCGCCAATCTTGTGAGCGTGCTTCTGGCATGCAGTGGACACAATCTTTTGTTGCTCCTCAATGCGCCACATCATCTTTCGAAGACGCCAGCGGGTCTGGGTCTTTTCGCCCTTGTCGACCACACCGCTCAGGGTCATCTCGACAGGGAATTGCCCGATAGGGTAAATGACGGAGGGCAGCACAATGCGCCCAGTGAGGTTAGTTGGAGGAAAAATGCGGATGGATGACTTGTCTGGCCCGGGAAGTAGAGAACGGCTGATGTCCAAAGGCAGCTTGAGGCTATATTCCTCTCCGGTGACGCTGCGCGCATGCGCCAGCAGGAAGTATTCGATCTGACCCAACACGCCATTGCAAGAAGCAGGAAGGTGGCCGGGAAACAAGTAGCTGAAGGGGAAGTCATGGTCACCAGAATTGAGGTGAAGGTCCTCGGTGATAAAGTTCCACTGAGTCAACTCTTCGGTGCGAGTAGCACAGTTGGAGCAGTGGTTCGAAACAGGCTTCTTGGTGCTTGTCTTGGAAACGAGGCGCACATCAAACTGGCTCAAGATAACTCCACCAGTCAACTCAGAGACTGCGATGCGTAAGCGTCCAGAAAAGAGCGCGCCAGTAGAGCTGGTAGGCGGGCCGTAGCAGACCAGCGGTGGCGACTCGATCAGGACATCCAGCTTTGCCGCTGGTGTGTGTGCCTCATGGCTGGAGCGTTCCTTAGAACGTCCTGCGCGTCCCAAACTGCGGCGCTTCTCTTTGCTATGGTCCCGAAGAGGGTGAATCAAGTGATCCATGGAGAAGGATAGACGGCGTTCGGGGGGATCGTGCGCGCTCTGACTTGTGCGTTGGCTTCTTCGCATGCCCGGGAATCTCATTGACGGAGACGGTTGAGGAGTTGTTGGAGTGACTAGGAGTCGAGGTGACGGAGGAGTGTAATGAACTGGCGTTCCGAATCAGGTTGGGAATTAGACGACCCGGCATTTTGGCTGTCAATTATACTGTAGACGCTCAATTAGAGGATGCGATAGGCTTCGTATGTTCAAGAGGCAGTACGATGACGAAATAATTGAGAAGCCGATGAAGCAATCCAACACATAATATGAGTCCCTAGAAGTATGTAGGGGAAGATGATCTACAGAAGAAATCCAACGTTCAAGTGCGCAACCCGCCGCTTTTGAATGGCAAGAACAATCATGTGCTAATTCACTGAACCCGTGGAAAACTAAAAAATGAAACCATGAAAATTGAATTTTCTTCCTTTTTTTTTTTTTTTTTTTTTTTCCACTTCCCAGGTACCGGTGCATTCAATTAGAAAAAGAAAAAAAAGAAAAAAGAAAAAAGAAAAAGAAAATTAGTAGGTGGGGCGTGACATAGCGTCATAGTGGGGTCTGACAGTACAGATACAATGTAATGACAGCCAAAAAAATACACTGCATTCGTGATCTTACCCCTCCAAGGTCCTGTAATTTGATGGAATTTGTTTGTTATTCTGAGATCATCCTGATCCGCCAAGTCGCAATTCTACCCATAGCCTCATTCAAACATGGCATCATCTCATCTTACAATGTCGGGTAGCGGGGTCTGATGCCGAGACAAAGAGCCCGAGCTTTTCTGTTGGATTGACAACTGATATACGAAGTACTTCCAATATAAGAATATATGTTAAACAAGATAAACTACATATCTCTCAGGGTTTGCCATCGCCTGACTTGTCGGATTCTACCCCACATCTGAAATGATAGTGTCGGCATCATGCTTGGATCACGAAGGAACCATCTGTAAATTCCAGGCTAGACCTTATCAGGGCAGTGGATGGGAGCACATGATGCCACTGTTGGCTTCTAACCTTAGCGCAAAACGACCGTGCGCAATGACTCACGTACCTGCGATGTATGTACCGGTTCGGCTAAACCGGTATAGCTTTGCCATGGCATACTCGGCTTCGTACCTATATAGATGGGCATTGGACTTTGCTTAGCATGTGGCCCCGGGGTTTTGCCCACGGGGTTCAATCGACAGCCTTGAAACCTAGCTACATAGCCACATAGCCAATGTAATCAATGTGACCAATGACAAGATCGTCCGTACCTTTGTTGTCGGGAACCTTAGAAGATGCCCCGGCTTTAGATTATCAAGCACTTCATAGCCCTATATGACATGCGGAGATGTGCCCGAGGTGTGTCTTTGACTCCTAATATGACCTTAGAAGTGCCACG